TTCAGGGTTAGGATTAGTGGCGGTTAGGCTGAGTTCAGGCGTTTTGGGCATCATGATATCTTTGTCCCACACCATAGATTTAATTTTTGTGGATAGGGACCACTGACTATATATAGCGCGGCGACAATATTATATTGAGTGAATGAAGTTAGTGTAGATTTGTGCCCAACTGTTGACGCACGGACGCACGGCCGGACGGACGGACGCACGGACGCACGCTCATGCGATTCTACAAGCTGCATCTGACTATGTCAGATGAGCTAAAAATGGAGCGTATGTCACCAGAACCCAGGCTACATTGGTCGACTACTCGGAACTCGCCTCGTAATTAAAAGGGATTTTGGTTAAAACGCACCATCGTGTCAGTGCGTGAGGCATGCTATACTCTGAGGTCGAGTCAGGACTAGGAATAGTATCCTCACAGAAGGAAACGTGCGGTCGGCTGCCACACCTAGTCAGTCGCCCCCCCTTCCTCCTCCACCTCGCATGCTCCTACATATGATTCCAGCCGATGCTCCGAACACACACGCGCGCGCGCGCACGCACACATGCACACGCACACGCATTACACACAAACACGCACGCACGAACGCCCGCACGCACGCACGCACACACACACACACACACACATAATTATACACTCGCGCGCGCACGCGCACACATACCCCGGCACATACCTACACAGGCCCGTAGCCAGGGAGATGGGGGGGGGGGGGTTCGGGGGGTTCGCACGAACACCCCCACCTCCCGAGCAAAAAAAAGAAGAGGTCCGCGATCCGCGATGTGCCGTGTGTGTGATAAATAACCAAAAAAATTTCAGGGCAGGGCAGGGAGGGAGGAACCCGGGTCGCGGCACGGCTCTGGATATGATGCATGCAACGCGCTCGCGCTGGCTATCAACCAAGTGCTGCTGCAACCACACGATGTAGATCTATCCGGCGAAGGAGAGAAGTGGGTGACCGTGAGTGTGACAATTCTTCAATTTTAAGTCGTCTTTTTCCGCCTTCACGGAAGCAAGCAGTGGCAAGTCTGTGAAAATTGATTGATATGTTTAATATTCTGTATCTTGTCTTCAATTCCTTTAATAAACTGCGGGAAAACAACGTCAATTATTCAATTGACAATGTTTTGTTCCGCCGTGCTCAGGTGCTCTGTCCGAATTCGGAAACTTACGTTACGGCAATCACCGATTTCGGAGACACATGATGATGCATAATATATTTATTATTTGTAACACATGAGGAGCACGACCACGAGCAAGTGATGAGTGATAAGCTAAACTATCACTCAATGTTTTTAGGGTTCATTTGAAAATACTCACCTTTTTTTTCATTTGAAAATTTGCAAGAATTTCACCTCGGGTATGCACCAGATCGCTCCATTTTAGTGTAAAAATTGCAAAAGCTCCCTTGTGTGGGAGGGGGACACCCCCCTACCACAATCTCATCCCCCCCCCGCTCGGTCGCTTCGCGCCCTCAAGTGGTGGACCGGTGAAATAGGCGAACCCCCCAGTAAAAAGCTGGCTACGGGCCTGCCTAAATACCTTCACACGCGTGCACGTGCGCCTACGTACGCACACACAGTCACAAGATGGCTCCGTGGGTAGAGCTAGTTCTATAAACAATACACGACGTACGAGAAACCGCTTATTAAAGCCCGGCACTTCAACTCGCCTCTACCACTCCCGCGCCATCGCATCAATCCCCTCCAAAGGACAAAGGTCAAAAGGTCGATCACTAGGTCTGACCACCGAGTATCAAAAATAGAGCCGGCGCTCTGTCGTAGCAGGGCTGGCCAGCGAATAAACTGTTCGAAACACGGATGGAAACCGACACCGTACCGTGCACGTACCGGCAGCATACCGGTAAAGCTGTCTCCACACACGCGGCACGACACAAAAAATGCATTGTGATTTATATTATATATATTATATATTGATATATTAGCGCATTGTGTCTGAGCGCATTGTGTTCACTCTTGTTCAGTGATCAGAAATTATGCATGTGCTTAATTGTTGTCCATTGGCTGATGGTGGCGTGAGCAGAACACGTGATAAAAAACAATCGCGTTGAAACTGTCTTTCTCCGTACACGGCAGCCGGCAAAAGTTAAACTCATTTGACTTTCGCCGTCGCCGTGAAACCGGGCTGGCGCCGTGCCGTGTCAGTGGAGACTGCGCCTTAAGATATAATAGATTTGAAACTTTGCCGGTAGGGGTGAACGACGCCGTTTCCGTAGCGTTCCGTGCCGCGCCGAGTGTGTAGCGACGGGCCTTAACACTAACTAAACACTCGTGGCGTGTGATGCTACGATACTAAAAAATACACATATTGCACTCAATGTAATGACTAGAAACACAGTAGAGTCACAGTAGTTACAGTTCACACGAGTATACCTATCTGTCTATCTACCTGTCTGTCAGTCTGCCTGTCTGTCCTTCCGTCCGTCCGTCTATCTATCTTTCTATTTATCTATCTACCTATATTTCTATATCTATATCTATATCCACACACACACACATATATATATTATATATCACACACACACACACACACACACACACACACACACACACACACACACACACACATCGTGCTTGGTTGGCACCGACGGGTGGCGGCACCTGTTGGCGAAGATTGCAACCTGACGCTGGGTCTGCGTAGTACAACGTGTGCAGTTAGGAGGTGGGGATCGTGGCGTATGGTGGTGGCGGCGCGTGCCAGTGTGTTCTGTTCACATTCCTATCGCTGGGGCGTCGAATTCGTCGTCTGTCTACAGTCAGATTTTTACGTAACGCGTCCAGTGATTCGTGTGACGCCGTCGCTTGCCATCACGCCGCTTCGTACTCTACAGTCGCAAACCCGTGTTTGCAGACACATGCGTATAAGGGTCACACTTGGCCTTTCTCTCGAGTGGTAGTTATGCAGCGAATTACCGGATGTAGAAAACGGGCGCGTGACCGTGGCGGATTCTTTTGGGGGGACCCTTGACCTTTATTGACCTGAGTGACCTTGTGTGACCTTTGTGTGACCTTTCTATGCAGGTGTGACTGTGCTGATTAGTTAGAGTGCCGCTATATAGCTTTATAATTAATTATTTATTAATTAATTATGTGCAGCCCCTCGTTAGATGTGGTGGCGCCGCATTCATCTCGGTTTTGATTTTAGTTTCGTTAATGTCCAATAGATGGCGCTCGCAGAGCACAGTCATGACGTACGCCGGTTTATCACGTTATTACTATTATTTTTTCCCCGTTTTGTTGTTGTTTTTTGAGGGTTGCGAGAGTTGTGGGTTCTAGTGATGTGTTCACCGGCCACTATGTTCACGGTCTGGGGTTAGAACTGAGAGAGAAGTGTGTATCAGAGAGAATAAATATCCTGATACATCCCAGTTTTGTTCCATCTTGGAAACGTACCCTACTACCCTACTATTACCCTACTATTACCCTACTATTACCCTACTATTTTCACCACGAACCTCTAGACGTGCTGACGTCAAAACTGAGATGTGTCTCTGATTGGTCTCTGCAGTGTATGACGACGCTCAGACGTCACTGTGCCTAGATGGCGCCACGTGTCAGTATTCTGCCGAGGAGTTCCTACAGAGGAAACGCTGCGGAAAAAAACGACGTTAACCCCGGTTTTTTATTTGTACTTTTTTGGGTTTATTTATCACTACGCCGCTGAAGCTAGTTTTGCTAGATGACAATGAATTGCTTATATTACTCTAATGTTTGTCGATGCAATATTTTGCGATATGATTCGCGTGTGAGATTGTGTTGAGACTTTGCGCGTCTATTATGAAAATCTATCTCTCTGTCGATCTCCCTAATCCATCTTTCATCCACCTCTACATTGATCATCCGTCCGTCTGCGCGTCCATCTAAAAACTCATCTATCCAGGCAGTGTCCATTTATCCATCCAGCAATCCATTCACCTGCCAACCGCCCGCATGTACACTCACGCACATGCTCACATACACGCACGAACGTATGAGTGCACGCACACACACACATAAACACGCACGCACGCACAAACACATACATATATCATATATGCCATCATAAGATTCTATGAATAATAGTAGATGGATTGCTACGGGAAAGGCCATCAGGTGTAAGTCTGGTCGAGTACGTACGTGACTATGAAAGGCCATGATAGGTAATGAGTCGACAATGCTATACAGGTATAAAGGGCATAGGTCTTTACCTAATTGCAGTAAGACCTCCTTCCTGAAAACCTAGGTAGGAATTTCAACACCAGATTTTCACGTACTCATCTATCTAAACAGGGAGACCTGTTGACGTTACACTCTTCTGACAGCAGACCAGCACCATCACTGCAGTTTTTGCCGTAAACGTTCACCTAATGGTGCCACCTAGCGATGGACGCTGGAATCCAATATATGGATACACTGATGCAATTCCGCACCCAGCCCTGCTGGGAAACTTTCTAACATGTACATTTATAGTATTGAGTTACTGTGATTATAAATATTGACGCGTGTTATCGGGGGTTAGGTGGATACGCCAACATATTAAATCTCCCAACATTCAATCTCTTCCACATCAACCAACACAAACTCATCCCTGCTCTTTTCTCACGTGGTGGCGCCACCGTGCTTACCACCCCTCTCATCGTCAAAGCACCTCAGCAAGAATGGGAAGTATTCAGACACGGATGGTGATGGATCCTTACGGATGGAATGTCAGCGAGCTGGCATCGCCGATTAGTGACCACTCGGAGTCAACAAGCACGTGCTGCCATCTAGGATTATCCGTTGGAACTTTTTCTCTCCAGCTGAGCATCCCATGTAGGGCGGCTGCATCTCTCCGTTAACCAGAGGGCACTGCAGATGGATGATCGCACAGGAGTGCTGTCCGTTTCAGTGTGACTCGGTGGCGAAACAACGGAACACCCCTGGTGTCGTCTGCTGCAACCTTCACACCGGGATCGATCACCGTCAAAATAAAATGCGCATCTACACGTTTTTTTGGGGTGGGGTGGGGTGGGGTTTGTGGGTGAGGGGAATATTTACATGCGTGGGAAGAAGATGGCAGAGTGTGCGATGGACGGTTGTAGTGTTCTCTGGAGCTTAGCCCACCCTCCAGTAGTCAGGGTGTCGTCGTCAAGGTTGATGTCAAGATCAGTCGTCAAGGTCGATCGTCGTTATCCCAGCCATTCTCCTTGATCATGTGAGCTAGCTCGATGATGTACTTGCCTTCCTTGTACTTCTGGCTCGACTCGAACGCATGCTCCTGTGACACAAACATGGATGGTTTATTATCAGTGGTGGTAGTAGCACAATAGGGATTGCTTATTACATGAAGGCTTCCAAAGCTCACAGCATAGGAGTGAGATGAAAAAAAGGCAAAAGAGCAAGCGCCCAAACGAGAGAGAGTGTGAGATAAATGTGGAGGGAAGGAGGGAGGGTGAGCGCGAGTGTTAGAAAGGACGAGGGAAGGAGGGAGAGGGAGCACAAGATTCAGAAAAGTGGAGGGAACGAAGGAGATGGAGAGAAAGAGTTGGACACGTACGTATTTCCAGCCGAGCGTTGTCTTGCAGCACTCACAGAAGATGTCCGCCACGGCATGCAGGCCGGTCAGTAGCACCCTCTCCTCCGCCGGCCCACAACCCACGTTCACCCTGCAAAATTATCGCATGAAATCATTATCTTATCACACGTGCGATTGAATACAATTGAAGCGATAATTTTGTTATATTATTTATTTCATGGCGAGTGGAATTTTTTAAAGAAATTATTATCACAAGTGTGATTGACTACAATTAAAACGATAGTTTGTTCTATTATATTTATATCATGGCAAATGTAAGGGCAGTGCCAGTGTGGGGTCAGTGCAAGTGTGGGGTCAGTGCAAGTGTGGGGTCATTGCAACTTTGGGGTCAGTGCGACTGTGGGGTCAGTGCACGTGTGAGATTCCTGCGACTGCGGGGGTCAGTGTGGGTGTGGATTCAGTGCGACTGTGGGGTCAGTACGAGTGTAGGGTCAGTGCGACTGTGGGGTCAGTGCAAGTGTGGGGTCAGTGCGAGTGCGAGATTCCTGCGACTGTGGGGTCAGCAGGGGCGTGTACAGGATTTGTACGAGGTGGGAGTCCAACCGAAACCCAAACTTGGGAGCACGCGAAGGGGGGGGGGGGTCTGGGGGCCCTTCCCCCGAAATTTTTGAAATTAGACCCCCTCAGATGCGTTTTCTGCGCGAGCAGGGGGGTCCGGTCCCCCTGGACCCCCCCCCTGTACACGCCCCTGGTCAGTGAGACTGTAGGGTCAGTGCGAGTGCGAGATTCCTCTGACTGTGTGGTCAGAGTGGGCGTGGGCCCAGTACGAGTGTAGGGCCAGTGCGACTGTGCGGCCATATTGCAACTGACGCTATAACCTTCAAAAGGTCAAAAGGAAGGGTAGTCACTACGGTATGCTACTCAAACCCAGCTAATGCAATCATGGAGCGAATCGAATTTCGTCCTACGGGACACGCAGTGCCTAACTGCCGGCTAGACATGATCTTGATATATTCTCAAGGTTAAGATGCGAGAGCATGTGGCAACCCCCAACTGAAGATAATGGCCACGCAACCGCTATAGACATCCACTCAATAATTTACAAGAAAGGTTTCGTTTAGAATTCTGCCGGTACAAAGAATTAGGAGAGAATAGAGGATAGAAAGACCGAGACAAATGCTAGCGCAGGATCACCAACATCATATAAAAGTAGCAAATAAAAAAAATAAGAGTAACCTGATGGGAAAAACCAGAATGAATGATGGGTTCAGGATCGGATCAAAGTTTCATAACTACATAACATTCACCGAAGAAACACGTACAGCTACGCACACAGACCACATACAGAAACAAATAAGTTAACAGCTATGCGAACTGGGAGAAAGGGAAGAACTGGGAGAGGGGAGAAACAGGACGACGGTTCTTGTGATGTGAAACAAGATGTGTAGAGCAAGGTGGACGAGGATGAACGTAGACCTCCATTTTAGAACCGGAGTACTAATATACTTACACCGAATTAAACAGGTACGCACGCCCCTGACTGCCTTGGAAAGACTGGAAATCAAAGCAGAACCTCTTATTAAGCACTGCTTTCTTGTCAGCCCACACGGATTGGATCAGCCCAGCATGGTAGCAGAGTTATCCATTGGTCACTAATTACTTCATGAAAAGGCTCAGCGCCACTTAGTCATATATCACGTGTTAACGAACGGTCGCTAAGCGGAGAGAAGAGGCACGAAGGCACAGGCAGAGAGAAAGAAGAGAACGTGCCCGTGAGGAAAGGCACAAATGCACGCACGCACGTACGCACGCACACACGCACGCACGCACGCACACACGCGGTGTGCAGGAGGGATTTTCGTTAAACACTGTCAACTTCGATTAGTCCAACCGCAATTATTTTTCCGCTGTCAGCCAACGAAATTAGCACTTAATCGATACGAGAACCCGCGGTGTCGGTGTCGGTGTCGTACGGAAGGCAGCAGTGCTGTAGCAACAGCAGCAACAGCAGCAGCAATAGTAGTAACAGTACCAGCAACAGCAGTAGCAGCAGCAGGAGCAGGAGCAACAACAACAACAACAACATCATCATCAAGAGCGCCGACAACACCCATAATTCTTCGTCATATGTATGTCACCACCCTTGTTGGGAGTTCAGGGCGGCATTAACCATTATCTCCAGTGGTTCCTACTACGCCAACCTTTCCCCTGCCGCCACGTGAGGCTCCTATAAGAAGGTCAGAGGCACATTGGGCTCCACCGTCTACACAGGGGGAAGGGGAAGCGTTTGTGTTGGCTTCTCCTGCGCCGCAGTATAACGACGCACTCCATCACAGGAAGCCCGCGGCGCGATTCAATTTCCCGCTAGGATTCCCAATTTTCATCAAAAGTGTGAAAGCCACGTGTTCACCCTTTTCTTTTTCCCAATCGCTGGATGACAGGCGCGTAGCTAGGATTTTATTTTAGGGGGGGGGCGGCAATGAGCACGTGAAGTGTGCGAATCACTTAAAGAGCGCGCGGAGCGCGCTCCCTAGGGGGTGGGCGCAGGGAGGGGGAGTTTCCCCCCTCCCGCGCGAAGCGCGGAAGCTCTGACGTTTCATTAAATTATTAGAGAAAGAAGACGATTCGTTGTACCGTTCTCGACTCTTAATCCTGAATTTTCAAAGATACCTGTTGTTTCTTTTATAATCTTTTTAACACAGTCTTTGTCATGTCTTTGTATGCTCCTTTTTCTTCCTACGTCCTCTTACTTTTTTCTCTTCTCTCTTTTTTTGGCCGGCGTTTGGGTGGGGGCGACCGCCCCCACCGCCCCCCCCCCTGGCTACGCGCCTGCCGGATGATGACATGACCTTTCAACGACGTAGCCGTTAAAGCGCGAGTTTAACAGAAACATCTCGAATCTAGAATTTAATGGAAACATCTAGAATCTAGAATTTTATAGTAACATGTAGAATCTAGAATTTAACAGAAACATCTACAATCTAGTATTTAATAGAAGCTTCTAGAATGCCTTCGTCGACGATCAACGAGTTCCTGCACGCACCAAAAGCCTACGATGACAACCTCCCTGCAGTTGATGTAATTGCTTGCAATTCTCTCTCCCGTCTCGCACACGGACGGCCCAGCAACGGGAGCCGCTGAGCGCGTGAAGCAGACGATAGTTTAGCCAGGCAGACGACATCATATCACGCGAGGTTTAGTCGAAGGAAATCTTTCGTGAATCGATGCAACGCGTAGCACTTAGGATTGCTCATAATCTACGACGCAAACGCTGATGTTGCTGGTGGTGCTGCCGCTGGTGCTCGTGGCGTCGGCGCGTTGCTCTCGTGTCGCGAAGGTAGAGTGACACGCTCGCTACATAAAGCTTATAATGGCACGAGGAACCCCTCCCCCTCCCCCTCCCCCGGGGAACGCGTCCCTGTAATCACGACCACCCACCGGCACACATGCCGTGTGGAAGAGAGAGAGGAGGGAGAAAGAGACAGCGAGAGAGAAAGAGAGCGAGAGAGAGAGAGAGAAAGAGAGAAAGAGGGAGGGAGAAACAGAGAGAGAGAGAAAGAGAGAGAGAGAGAACAAGACTGAGAGAGAGAGAGAGAGAGACGAGAGAGAGAGAGAAAGAGGGGGAAAGACCAGAAAGAGAGAGAGAGAGAGGCGAACAGAGGAAAGTGTGTGTTCCGTGTGTGTGTGGACGTGGTGTGTGTGTGTGTGTGCGTGTGTGTGGTTTGTCGATCAACTGGTGGTGTATTGTGCGTGCGTGCGGTGGCTGTGTTCTTGTGGGTGTGCGTGTGGTGCTCGTGTGTATCTCATCTCTCTCTCTCTCTCTCTCTCTCTCTCTCTCTCTCTCTCTCTCTCTCTCTCTCTGTCTTTGCACGTCTCTTCCACAACATTCATGCACAAAGTCGCAGCAATCAGCAGGTCACCTGTGGCTTAGTCATCATCGCGGAGATTGCTTTGTGTCGGCTACCAGTCGGCGGCAATCTCCCGGACGTAATCACGACTCCGACGATCGATACAGGTGCGTATTCAGGTGTGTACGCAGGTGTGTATGCAGGTGTGTACGCAGGTGTGTATGCAGGTGTATATGCAGCTGTATGCAGGTGTGTATTCAGGTGAGGATGCAAATGTGTCTGCATGTGTGTATGTAGGTGTGTATGCAGGTGTCTGCAGGTGTGTACGCAGGTGTGTATACAGGTGTGTATGCAGGTGTGAATGCAGGTGTGTACGCAGGTGTGTATGCAGGTGTATGCAGGTGTATGCGGTGTGTATGCAGGTGTGTACGCAGGTGTGTATACAGGTGTGTATGCAGGTGTGTACGCAGGTGTATGCAGGTGTGTATACAGGTGTGTACGCAGGTGTGTATGCAGGTGTATGCAGCTGTATGCAGGTGTGTATGCAGGTGTGAACGGCAGAGCGAGGTGTCGAGCGAGATGCGCAGGAAAGGTAGGTACAGTTCTATAGCAGAAGAAGCCCGCAGAGTGGGCGGATGGGGCGTGTTTAGACGCGTCAACGACACTCTGATCAGAATTGGCGGGCACTTGCAATTGACAACGAGCTATACGTCGTCACTCCCCTCCATCCACCTGTGCAACAACAGTCCGATGTGGTAGCGTTTTGAAGTTTACTGCAGCGTTTAGAAACTTACTGCTGCGTTTTGAGGTTAACCGCTACGTTCTGGAGCTAATTGCAGGGTTGCGGAAAGGGTAGCCTGCTACTGCGTTTTGAAGGTCACCGCTACATTTTGAAGTTTACCCTCACTTGTTGAATCGTTTTATTATGTTTACCGCTACTCTTTGAAACTCACTACTGCGTTTTGAAGTCTATCGTCGTATTATTAAGTTTACCGTCGCGTTTTGAAGTTCACCGACACGTTTTCAAATTCACCTTAGCGTAGTAACATTTCCCGTTGCGGCTTTCCGCCGAGCGTTGTCGCCTTGTCTCCCCGCAGTTAAACCGAAGACAACGAGTGTAAAACCAAAATCCAAGATGGCCGCGCCGGGCGGTTCTTCAGCAGCTCTTCGTCCATAAAGACGCATCCGTCGCCGCATCGCGTGCGAACCTTCAATGTCGCAGACGACGTCGCTCCCCCCCCCCTGCCAGCAGCAGCAGCAGCAGCGAGAATCTTTTCTAATCTATAGATTCGCGGCAGAGTGGCCTAACCATTAGCCCACGGCGAGAAGTGGGCACGGATGAGATAGAGCGTTCTAGCCAGCCTAGGCCACAGCTGAACGCGGTCGCACGCACGCACGCACGCACGCACGCACGCACGCACGCACGCAGCGACACCGCGTGTATTCGTGTCCTCCGTGTCTCGTCTGCGATCACGGATCTAGGGCATCGCAGCAGCATGTTCCTTCTATTATCAATGGCTAATGACGTTGCCTTGCCGACGACATCTCTCACCTCGCATACCTCTTTATTTTATGATTGAGATAAACGATGGGATTTACAATCTTATATTATTTCAGTCTTCGCACTCGAAATGTTGGGACCATAGAAATGAATAGAGACACTAACAAACTAAAAAACCAATAGACATATATTATTTGGTATAAATAGTAAATATAGTAAATAGTAATATAAATATAATAGTATATTATTTATATGGTTCGGCGAAACATAATTTTTTTCGGACGACGCGTTGGCAAATATTGCCGAATAGAAGAGGTGTTGGCTGTGAGTTAGCAGTAGTTGCTAGACCTTCACCCTGGGCAACATCAAAAGGGCCATCGAATTGCTAGCTTTATAGATTAGTGTTATGGTTAGGGCGAAAAGTAATAATATAGCCATGATAATAACATAACCCTAAACATAAGACAAGCTCTCACCCTCAACTAACGTAACAGTGCAACCAGAACATCACAGTGATCAAGAATATGATAGCCTTCCTGTGCCACAATCCTGGAGCACCACGTTGACAGTTAATGATGGTGAAAGCAACACGAACATGAACGAAGAGTCCGACGACGAGAAGAATGATAACATACTGCTCGAAAACTAAGCGCATACATCGGAATCACACATCAGTGTGTCAGAATTCACCATACATACATACATGCGTAGCTTCTCTATTTCTTTATTCTATTCAGACCACCCGTATTCATGTGTTTTTGTTAGGCCGTTCTTATTCTCATTCCTTTATTATATTTTGACCATCCATATTCTGTTTAGGCCTACTTATATCCTTATTTCTTTTAGTGGGACGACCTTTCGTAGCACAACGTGACATTTCTCAAACGCATGCGTCACATTTTCGGTCGGTACTTGCCTAGATAGAGAGAGAGTGCGAAAGCGAGAAAGGAGAGAGAGAGAGAGAGAGAGAGAGAGAGAGAGAGAGAGAGAGAGAGAGAGAGAGAGAGAGAGAGAGAGAGAGACGAACGAACGTACGGAGAGAGAACGTAACGTTATTACTTACTACTACTACAACTAACGTAACGTAAGGTACGGTACGGACGGTACC